TACAATTCCCAATGAGAAATGTAATTGTGTTGTATACCTAAAATGTACCAATAAAAGAATTAAAAAAAAAAGTTAGGAGCTGTATATAGCAATGAACATAATTATATGAAAAAGAAATAGACACAATGCTCAATTTTGTATGATTGCATTACTATGAATACTAGTATTGTGAATGCTTTTATTTTTTCAGGAGACATTCAGGTTACCTCCCCTTTACTTTTCAGAGAAAACACTGCCTTTTTTCATGCTATAAATCAAGGGCAAAAACTACTTCAGTTTTCAATTTTTGCTTTTTGGTTTGTTTCAAGTGTAAAGGAAAATAGTTTTGTTTTCAATAACATGTTAGGTAATACCTCCTCTTAGCACTCTCTGCCTTAGTTTGATGGTCCTGAATGCCACCTGGGCCTACTGCACTGAAATGCCAGCACTGGGCTTGGAAATACTTATCACATTGAGGAAATAGAAACAAAGAAAACTTATTGTATTCTAAATCTATTGAACATGTATTTATGAGGTAAATAACATCATTTACAACATGGCTTACAGGAAGCATTTACCTGAATTTCCCTCAGCCAAGAGTGGATTTATTACTGTTAAAGAAGACGGGGCGGTGCTGTGACCACACAATGACTCCCCTGGAATTGCAGAAACAATATTATCCCAACTGTGATTTACTGGACAGTGATGCAGCTTCATAGAAGAGCAGTCTTGAGTTTTTACTATAAAACACAATATCTTCATTAGTAGAATAATCCTCAGATACTCCAAACAGCTAAAATACCAATATTTGGGTCACACCGAAGGAAGACTCCAGGGTCTCACTGTTATTAAAGCTACTGCAGAAACCTAATTCTGCAAATACTTTTTAGCAAAAACAAGGATTTAAACTGAACATTTTTCTGTCTGTGCTCAGCTTCCTATGTATATAATAAATTATGGAATTTCAGTTCTTTTATGTCTTCTTCTACCTTCTACACTTTAAGTGTTTCCTTTATATAAATGTGTGTCAATATATAGTCAGTGCAAAGACTTTTAAATGTGTCATATCTATGTACAATATAAATCATCTATTTTCTCCTCCAGCAATCCTATCCAACCTCAGGGCCTCAAGTGTTCATCTCTATTCTCGAATCTGTGTAATTAAACTTTCTGTCTTCATTGACTATTTTGTCTTATGTTTCTACAGCCCAGTGTACATACCCTATATGCACCACCAGCACCCCAAATTAAAGAGAAAAATATTAAAACCTTAATCATCATTCATCTTAACTCTATTTACTTGTTCATCTCTAGAGTACCGGGAATGGAATCCAGAGCCTCCTTCATGCCAGGCAGCTGCATAAATCTACCACTGAGCTTTTTATCTTTTGAGACAGGGTCTTGGTCAATTCCCAAGGCTGTGATCCTCCTGCCTCAGCCTCCCATGTAGCTGGGATTATAGAAGTGAGTTTGGTTGACCATTCATTTTAGCTCTAAAAGCTATTTCAACTCTTATTTTTGTTAATAGCACCAATCTTTTCCAAGTGACTAGGCTTAATAATGCATTCAGTTTTATTTCTTTTTTTTCCACTCTCTTAATCCCTTCAAGTGAACAGTTATAAAATCCTATTGGTGAGTCCTCCATAGTATTCCTTACACCACCCTTCCCTGTTTTCACTCTGGATCATCTGTTCTCATAATCTCTCACCAACACTATATTAACAGTTGCCCAACTGGCCTCCCCACCTCAAGCCTCCTTTTCCTTTCAAAATATCTTACATATTCCAGCCAGGATGAATTTTCCTAAAGCAAAAAATTTCATTGTGTCATATCCTTGCTCAAATATTTTCAAGAGTTATTCCCTACTCAAGTTAGAAAACCCAAATAGCTTAGCAGAGGGATAGAACTCTTGGTGATATGGTTCTCCCCTATTTATCTTCTTCTATTCATCCTCTTCACAGGCTAATCCAGATCACTCACTGTTCTCTAGAGTCTGCACCTCCATTTTCCTTTACCTGGAATGTCTACCCCTTGTAAGTAGAAGTCCAGCCTTTAGCCAGAAATAATGTCTTCATGATGACAACATAGTGTAGCTGAGTGATATGAAAGTATTTATCCAAAGACCTGGCTCTAGCTGCTAGCTATGTGATTCAGTGTGGTACAGAGGGTTCTTAATCTGTAAAACAAGGACACCTCCCTTGAAATGCTATGTTGTGAAAGTATTCTGTAAACAATGCTATTCTTTCACGACACTATCACAGCTCTAGATCCATCTCTGTTTTCTACCTTATCCTTATGGTAACATTTCTCCTCTTATAAGAGATTATTGTGTCTAACACAATACCTTTAATATTTAAATGTATTTGTTGAACATGCTACTGCTATCTAAAACATCTTGTCATTTTAAAAAATGGCCATGGCTGGGTGTGGTGGCACATGCCTACTGGTGGCTGAGGTAGGAGGACTGCTGTGAGTTCGAGGTCAGCTTGGGCTACCTAGCGAGCCCTGGTCTCAACAACAAAAACAAAAACAAAAAAATGGGCATAGTGGCCCATGCCTATAATCCCTGCACTCTAGGAGGCTAAAGCAGGATTAAAAATTCAAGTCCAGCCTGAGCACCTATGCAACTTGGCAAGGCCCTGTACCAAAATAAAAAATAAAATGGGCTGGAGTTGTGGGTCAGTGTAAAGACCCTGGGTTCAATCTCCAGTAACATACACACACTGCAAATGAAAGACATGTTCCATACAAGCCACGACTTCTTGCTAAGCAAATGATCTTGAAAGAAAGTGGGAAACTTGCAAATCAATACTGACTGGAAAATTAACATACCAGGTAAAAAATCTTTGTTTTGAGGAGCTGACTGAGACCTAGAAGTTCCCAGAGAAGAACTGCTTTGATGAAGCTGAGAGAATCCACATGACTCCTAAAGTAAACAGAAGATAAACAGGTGTAGAGAACCCTTCCTGGAGGTTAATACAAAATCATTTAAAAATTATATAGCTTTAGCTTCTAAGCTATTTTTGCTTTTCACTTGCTACAAATAATGCCTCAAATACTACAAAGTATCACAGATGGAATTAAAGAAACAACATATATAGAATAATCCAACAAACATAAACTTTACTTCTTTATCAAATCAATTGGGGGAGATGAGGCAATAATTATATCCTAGACACAATCATTTTTCAGTGTATTCTACATGATCCCAGAGGCTCTGTCCAGTGGTTAGAACTGTGAATGAGGATTACTAATTCTGTAACTTTATCTATTGATTTAGAGCAAATGCTTGTCCTTTGCTTCTTTCAGAATTGTCCTGGTCCTTGTTCTTTCAGATTGAAGCGGGTGGGGAACCTTGAAGAAGTAATGGAGATCATGACTGTAGCCCCAGCTCTGTCAAAGGACTACTGACTTACCTGCAACACGGCAGTCAAACTCTCTTTGTCTTGGGGTCCTTGTCTGCACTGTCTATCTAAAATGTGCCCTGAGGGCTCAGGGATCAAATGCAACAGTGTACAAAAGAGATTCAGAAACTAAAGCTCTTTTGAGTGTATCATTACTTGTCTGACTCTGTAAAGTGAACATTTATATTCTTTTTTTTTTTGAACTGGGGATCGAAGTCAGGACCTTGCGCTTGCGAGGCTGGCGTGGTGCCACTGAGCTAAATTCCCGGCCCAAACATTTATATTCTTTTTTTTTTTGGTACCGGGAATCGAACATGGGACCTTACACTTGCAAGGCAGGTGGCGGCACCACTGAGCTAAAGCCCCAGCCCCCAAACATTTATATTCTTAAAGATGACCTATGAATGAAGACTACTGAAGAGACCTATCTTCTTGGAGAAGAACAAAAACAGATTTTCCTCTTATTAATTACTGTAAGAAGAACAAGATAGCATAAATATAGTGGTAGAATTATAATCAATAATTTGTCCATACACTACCATATATAAAATAATGCCAGGGACGGAAATCAGTACCCAAAAGCAAGGACTTTGACTTAACTGGATGGACAATGAACAGAGAATTAGAACTGGGTTTCTAGTTAGTAGCTAACAAATTCTAAAAGGCCCCTGGCCTTTGTTTCCCATCTGCAAAAGAAGAGGGTAAATGAAATGGCTCTCTCATATTCTTCTCACATTTCAAGTTTAACACACACATGTATACGCAACTACATATAATTTATGTGTCTGTGATATAAACATATATTTTTTTCTTTTACCTCCTGTGGACTATGATTTACAGGTGTATTCAGGGGCGACTCCATTTTCTTTTTGTCACATAAGTGAATAGTACTTGAAGTACTCTGTAACTGGAATGAATACAAATACATACTTTAATTAGAAGTGTTTAAAACTACTGAAGCAAAATATAATCTACTTAACATTTATTTTATGTATTTATACAAAAACAATGGAAATAAAATCTAAATCAGTTTAGAGTATAATACATACAGTGCAAAGTAGGGGAAATATCTTTAGAGAAACAGAACTTGAATCCCGCCTCATATTAATTGGTTGACTTGAGCAAATTATTGATCTCTCACAGTCTTGAAGCTCTGTCTTTAAAAGAATACTTGAATGATAGATTGTTCTAAAGATTGAGATTATAAAGTGCCTGGTGCTTAATAAATTTTGGTATGTGTTCTATTCATAATAATTCCACACTGACTATATGTCAAGTACTATTATTATTTTCATTTTATTGCTAAGAAACTGAAGCTTGGACTAGACAAAGGAGGTAGCATGTTTAAGGGAATGGTGGAGGCCATGCAGTCAATCAGATCTGGTTTAGTATCCCAGGATGTCTGTTTGACCTTGAGCATGAGAATCAATCTCAGTTTACTTATAACTACCTATTTTGCAGTAGAACTGTAAGGAATTTTACAAGTAATAATGAAAAAAGACTTAAAGTTTACTTGTAAAGAATCGGTAAATAGTGCTGCTAAGCAGATAATTTTTTAAATGCTATCCTTTTGTATTAAATTATGCAATTTATTTGTGTGCCATCATTACTGAGTGATTTAAAAACAAATATGAACATCTATTTTTCTTCCCTAGAACAGCATAATGCCAAATGCTCTTCAGAATTTTAGAAATGAGTAGGGTCTGCATCCAGCTCTCCATCATTCAGTTACAACTACCTGTTCTGTTAGGAAGAAAAGCTTATCTATCCATGTTCACAATGTACTTAGCACACAGTTCAATAAACATTTATGAATATATTCTATGTGAACTTTTACAATTAGGTTTTGGTTATGTCTGTATTATGTAAGGTTTTTCTGGGCTTTACTGAAATCTTGCTTGCTTGCTTTCTGCCTTTTTTTTTAAAATTTCTGAGAGGCATAGACGAGCTCATTGAGCAGAATCAAAGAAGTACACACACCAAAGGACTGTGGGTTCTTGAAGGGCGAGGCTCTTTATTGAAACATTTCTGATGATGCAATATCCTTCTATTAGTAACACTGTTTTTCATAACTGATGAGATATGACAGACAACACACTGTTTATGAACTAGTGAACTAGTCCCAAACAAGAAATGAAATGAAATATTAAAGAAAAAATGCTTTCATTCAAGTTTTACTCTTTAAGAGACAGAAAGTGTTTAGCTGAATAAAATGAATTATAGCAACTTGGTCAAAGAATTTTTTAAAATGTAGGTAACATAAAACAAGTCACTCTAAATAATGATCTTTGTTTTTAGAAATTTAGAAAATTCAGCAGTTTAGAAAGTCTTATTGTATTCAGAGACAGGGTCGCTCTGTGCTGTGTATGTTTCCCATGCTAGCCTTGACTCTTGACTTTCCTGTCTGTACCTCTTGAGCAGCTATAACTATAGGCATCAGTCACTGAGCCCAGCTTTTTTTTGTTGTTGTTGTTTTTTTGGTACTGGGGATCGAACTCAAGACCTTATGCTTGTGAGGCATGCGTGGTGCCGCTGAGCTAAATCCCAAGCTCCCCAGCTTTTAAGCTGAGCCCTGGCTCAGCTAGCTGTCTAGGGTGTAATGTAAATGACTAACTTCCTTATGCTGCAATTATTTCATCTATAGAAATCAGATAATATTCTTGCCTTAGCAGTTTCACAGACTTGATACATGGATTTAAAAAGTAAAAAAAACCCTACAGCTCCTTTAATTGAAAACAATACTCCAGTTTAAAAAGAAAGTAATGTTATTGCTAAATGATATTAAGATATACGAAAAAATATACTTTAAGTCTTACATATAGGATCCTAGTGTTTAAGTTGTTTGGAAATAAACTAAGAACTGGAATGTTTCTCTTCCCCTTCCACAACCAAGACAATGGCCCTTCCATCTAGTTTTGTTTAAAAGGAGAAAAGAGAAAGTTGTGAGGAGACAAAGCAGGAACTGAAAAAGACAAAAATATACTCAGAAGTTTGTATTTACTAAGTAAAGAAACTGGTGTGCTCTGGACCAAAGACTTCATCCCTATTCACAAGTGGGAGAGTCAGTAATACGTTATCAAAGGGGTCCCTCTTCTTTACAAAATTCAGGTGCCAATATTGCTACCATCAATTTTAGTTTAGTTATAGTTGTTTCTTTTGGATTCTTCCTTTTAAACCAAAGGTTAGATCAATAGTTCCAGCAAACCGCAAGGGACAAGGTGTATCATTTATTTCACTTGTTCATAATTCAAAATTTTGGCTAACTGGTGGTTTTTACTATCATATATTAAGTACAATTTTTAAATAAAATCTAACAAGTGCTACAACTATACTGACTCTGACCATAGTTGCTTTCTGAATACGTCTTGATAATATTAAGCAAACACTAGTAACAGGCTCCTTCAATTGCTCTTCAGATTCACAAGGGCCAGACTGATGAGACAGTTGCCCTAGGTAAGTCACTCTAACTTCTGCTACTTTTCATGGAGTGTTTAAGAAAATGAAATTTTAAAAAGCAATAAAAATGTACACTGTTATCAGTTATATTAAAAATTCTATAGCTTAGCTTGGCAACAAATCTCAGTAAAACCCATGTTCACTAAATAAAAAAAAAAGAGAAGTGTAATAACTCAGATATCTCTTACTCTTCAGGCATTAAAACTTTAAGAAGGTAAATGTGATTAACACACACACACACACACACACAAACACACACACACACACACACACACATATCCCCTGCCTCACCCTTGTGATGATTCAGGGGCACTCACTGTCTACATTTGGCCTTCATTACCCATTTTATATTTACATCTCATATATGAGAGCTCTGGAAATGTTAAATCTGAATATGGCCATTTGAATGAAGTAGAAAAATTCTTTGGAGACAAAAGGTGGTATTCATAGTCTCTGATAAACTCGCACTTCAAAACTAGTCTATATTTGTGAAAAGTACATAAAAACTAAACTAAATCAAAAACTCATGAATAATGGGAGTTGTTTAAAGTTCTAATTTATAGCATTTCATTTGGTAATTTACCTTTGTTTTCTTTAACTGGATAACAGCTTCAAGAAAAGTTATCTCTTCAAATGTTCTCAGAAGTGGTTCAAGTTCTATCAAACATTCTAAATTAAAAAAATAAACAAAAAGTGGGTTTCAGATGGCTTCTAATAAGTTGAATGCTAACATTTAACTCATAGGGTCCCAAGTAATTTTTCCCCCAAACTGATGACACAGACTGTCTTAACAATCTTTATTACTAACATAACAGACGTAAGAATCAATGGAATGGGATTCACCTACTGATTTTCAAGAAGTGAGCTCAAGCCAATTCAATGAAAATATGGTCTTTTTTTTAACAGATGGTGCTAACAGTTGTCCACATGCAAAGAGATAATACCATACATAAAAATTAACTTGAAATGGATCATCCACCCAAACGTAAATAGGAGAAAATCTTTATGACTTTGGGTTAGGGAGATTTCTTAGATGACATAAAAAACAGGATGTATTAAAAACTGATAATAATATTTCATAATACTGAAAATATGACATTTAAGAAAAATGGAAACATAAGCTGAAGACTGGGAGAATATATTCACATGTTACACATCCATTAGAGGACTTGCATCTGAAATATGTAAAGAACCTGGACAACTCAATAATAGGACAAATAATAATTTTTAAAATGAGTAAAAGGTTTGTATACATTGTTTATACTTGTCTCTACTTCCTTCCCTCTAATTAAATTCTTAATACTGATCATTCTTCTGTTTTCATTTCTCCACTAATTACATTTGTTAGCATTACTATGATGACAATGCTTGTAAATTTTGCTTATCTTGTTTGGCCTTTTGGTAGACTGGACATCACTGACTATTCCCTCTTTGAAACTCTCCCTCTGGTGTCTTCCAAGATATAAGAGACGACATCTTCTACTTCCTTCCTTCAATCTTGTTTCTTTTTCTCCGTCTACTCAATTTCTAAGTTGAGGCATGTTTCAGAGGTCTAATATGGATCTTTGCTATCTATATTCCCTATTTATAGATGATCTAATTCAGAACAGTCTACATGTTAGTGATACTCAATTTGGTATCAGAAGCCCTAGCCTCTTCTTTGAAAAACAATTTTACAAAAGATTGTTTCTACTTGTTTTCTTTCTGAACAATGTTGCTATCATCCACATCTAAGTCTCTGTGTGAACAAATTTTAAATTCTCTTAGATAACTACCTGTGAGTGGAATTTCAGGGATGAATGGCAAATTTATCTTTTGTTTGTTTCTGAGACAGGGTCTTGCTATGCAGTAGGCTGGCCTTGAACTTGCTGTGTACCCCCGGTGATCTCAAACTCAAGGTTCGCCTGCTTCAGTCTCCCGAGTGCGGGACTCACAGGGATGTGTCACCAGGCCTGGCTATCTTTCATTTTTAAGAAACCACCAAACTCTTTTCAAAAGTGGTTACATCATGTTACATTTCAAGTGTTTCATTTCTTCATATCACAGTCAGAACCTGTTATTTTGTCTTTTTAATTACAGCTATTTTGGTGGGCAGGGAGTGGTATCTTGTAATTTTAATCTGTATTTTCTAGTAGTGTTAAGCACTTTTTAGTCATTTGACTCTTTTGTTGAGATTCAAATTACTAATTTTTAAATTATTTGTCCTATTGAGCTCTCAAAGTTCTTTATATTTCTACATTACACATCCTTTAACCAGACACGTGATATCAAAATACATTCTCCCAGTCTATGGCTTGTCTGTTTCAGTAGTGTATTTTGAAGTGCAAAAGTTTCCAATTTTTTTAAAGTCCAATTACTTATTTTTTTGGTGGATTCTGTTTTTGATGTCTAAACTGAGAACTCTGCCTAACACTAGTCATGAAGATTTTCTCTAGCTTACATTTAGATGGATGATCTATTTTACCTCTGTAGTATATCTTAATTTTGTATTTTTTACTTTCAGAATCATCACCCTAATTAGACAATTAATAAAAGTTTCCTAGCTGCTCCTTTGCATGTACTTCCTGCCTTCCTCCAGTTTTCCACACAGCAACAAGAGTGATTTCATCTAAACTCAAATTAGATCATATAACTTACCTGAAAAACATTCTTAAAAGGTTTTCAACTGCATGTGGAATAAAATTCTAATCTTTTATGACAGTCAACAGCTTCCTTCTTTGCTCATTATATTCAAGCTATATGGGCTTTCACTTTAATCCTTACAAATACAAAATCTTTTCCTCTTCTAATCTCAGAGCCTTTACTGTTGCTATTTTCTCTGTTCAAACTACTCTTTGGTCAGGTTTTGAATGACTGGCTCTTTTTCAAGCTTCACATTTCAGCTCAAATGTTTGCTGTCCCACTCTCTTAACTAGTTAATTATTACCATGCTTATTTCCTTATAGGACTTCACGGTCTGCATCTGGTTTGTTTTCTTTGCCTTCTCAACTAGAATGCGAGTTTCCAGAAGTTAGTGCCTTAGATGATCTTGTTTACTACTCTATTCTCAGTACACAGTAAGTACCAGCACATGGTAGATGTTTATTTAATAAATTAATGAAATTGTTACTCCTTTCAAATGATTTCTTTTCTGTAGGGAATTCTCAATTCATTTCTAGAAGCAGCTACCTGCATATGAAGGCTATGAATAACCAGAGTGAAAAGAATTTATACAACATTTTCAAGCTACTCATCTAACTGACAGTTTTCAAGGAGTATTTTATTTACAGTATGTTAGCTATTTCTGTATTTCAAAAGCTGCATATTAAAACTGTGTACTCACTCAAGAAAGATGGTCGTTCATCTGGGTTTTGTGCCCATCCACGTTCTATTAGTGAGATCATCAGAGCTCGATGAGGTATATCAAGTGGCAAACTTTCTTCATTAGTGTCAGGTCGACGTCCCTGTGATACACTATACATGATCTGCAAAGGATTGGTGACTTCTGTCCAAACAAATACATTTCATTAGACATATATTATGATTCAGTGTATTAAATTTCAACATTAAGGAAAAGTAGGGAATCTTGACTTTTAAGGACTAATTACTACTAATAATTTTGAGGAATAATTCACTATTCCTTTTCCTATAAAAGGAACATCCCATTTCCTATAGGTACATCCCACGCAGTGTCAGACTTGCTGCCTCCTATGAGAGGAGTTCACATCCTCACCTCAGGAATTCTGGGCTTGGCCATGTGATTTGACTTAGTCGGTGGGATGTGAGTAGAGCAGAACCTGACAGAATTCAGCAGAGCTGAGTAAAATCTGGTAAAACCAAGAAGGGTTTAGCAACTAATATCTAAGGTAAATGAGAAATAAATGTGTTTTGTAAGTGGCTGAGATTTTAAGGTTTTTTTTATAGCAAGCTGTACTATAGAAGTGTTAAAAAATATAAACAATATCATCAAGCAATGAAAAAGATTATTCTTCAATGGGTGCTTCTCTTTGTAGAAGAAATATTAATTAAATTTCCATATAAAGTTTTATAGTTGGAATGGATCTTCGAAATAAAAATTCCTAACTTCATAAATCTCATTTTGCAGAAGATAAAAACAAAGACTTGTAGAATTGAGTAGTTTGATGACAGGGCCAATTATTGACAAAATAAGAATTAGAATCTAGGTTTTTCTGACCCTCAATCCAGTATACTTTTGGTATATATTGAATTCATAACTGATAAATTGTTATTTTTTATAGTGTGTCCCATATAAAATTAATGAAAGGTAGATTAAAAAGATTATTGCAACATGATATTATCTAGAATAAGGAAGTCAGAGTATACTGACCTTCAAAAGGCTGTTTTCTGGATAACACTTCCCATGTGATAATTGCATAGCTGTTTAAGAACAGTTATATATTATAAATAAATTTTGAATAATAAGCTAAAATACATAGCACAATTTAACAAGCTGATTGTAGAGATACCTTTTTTTTTTCCTTTGGTACCGGGGATCGAACTCCGGTCCTTGTGCTTGTGAGGCAGACAGTGAAAGAGGTACCATTTTTGAAAGCAATAAAGTAGTGAAATGCTACATGAAGAATCACATACACAACCAAGATGAATGCTCATATACTTAGAAGGCAATTAACCTTTGTTTTGAAGGACAGTGAATCTTAATTCCAAAAATTAGGAAGTTAATAACAGCTTAAAGTTGCATGCAAGGATAATGTTTTGAGGATAACTTAACAGTTGTGCTTGAACACTCACATACGCCATATCCTCTGATTATATGATTCTATTTTTCACACAAAATGAAGAGCAATAAAAGACTTTCTCATGTAACTCTATGCTACTAACTTTTTTCTAGTTTCAGTATTGTCTTCTTTCATAGAGAAAATATTTTGCCTACAATTGAAACATCAGTTGTAAATTACCTGGTTAAGGTGCAAAGAGTTTATGTTTGGGATAAATGATTAAGTAGGGTGCAGAAATTTTGCCATGTCATCAAATTGACCCCATGTTCAAAATAGACACATGGAATTGATTAGGTAACAATATATCATTTTAGAGGAAGAGTGAGGATTATAGAGGAAATTTCTACCCAAATCAAGGAATATGGAATATTTCTTCATTTTCCCTGACAGAGAATACTAACATAAAGACGTAATTCACAAAGGAACTAAAAGTACACTTAATCTGTTCTGCTTTTATAGAATCAAACTAGCTTTGAAGAATTGTTGACTAGAACACGGAATTTGCCATAGAAGATTTAACTATTTTTGAGTACATCATTCAAAATAAGCTAAAGATATCAGGAAATAGAACATATGAAAACATTTACTCATATAATAATGTGAATGCAAAAGATAGGTGTCCACTAAAGTAGATTGGCTGGCACTGGATTTGAGCTATTAAAAATTAAAATATTTAGAAAATAGCTATATGTAGTTTACTTAACTATATAATGTTGTTGAAGATATACTGTTAAAAGTGTATTCATTTTTTTACTCAGTTTATTAAAGACAATAAAAAGTTATTTTAAAGACTATAAAATATGGTCAGAGTAAATGTAGTAAGTCTGATTTTACATTCATTATTTTAAAAGAGACAAATGTAAGTCATATATGAAGTGAATGTCCCCACTCCCTAATGCTGAGCATTACAAATTTTCATCCTCCTTTCTCTGGCAAAATGATCAGTACTGAAAATGCTACATTATGTTTATTACTGGATCATGAGATTTTAAGTAATATGCACCTGAAACATAAAAATATGATTTTACCAAAAACATTGATTTGTTGGTTGTATAAAAGATTCACATATATACAAATATTAGGGGCTCTTTAAAATAGAAACATCCACAGTAGCTTTAAGAGGTTGTTTATTTCTCTAAAAAGATGTATAGGTAACAGAGACTGAAAGGGTAAACAGGATGAGAAACTTAAAACTGATAGCTTAGAAATCAGTTTCCCTCTGCTTCTCCCAGTAACATATGATAAAAACTCTTTAACATTATATTTCAAATTGATAGGACAAGACGATATGCTCAGAATTTTTAAAAAGTATTTAGAAGTTTCTCACAGCAAGAGATCTTTGAAAAATATTAACCACTGTGACTTCTCATTTATTTTTACCACAGTTAAGCAAAAAGAATAAAAATCACACCTTAAAAATGTAGCTTTAAAATTAATCTTATGTTTTAAACAAGGTTAACTGTGATCAAAAGTAACATATTGTACCTATATATATCATGTTTCACGCTGGCCCTTGTTTTTTGTCCAGGTTCATAGTTCTCAGGTGGCATATAGATAATTGTCCCTCCCTCTGGTGAAGGCTTGCTACCACGTGACTGTGAGAGGGACATCATGCGCCATTTTGATAAACCAAAATCTGCAATCTGTAAAAGAAAAGAGTAAATAATTGATTTTAAAGTTTTTCTCTTTAAAAATTTCAAAAGTTGACTGTCATTGTGCATATATATAGAGGTATCAGACCAGACATATATATATATTAAGTATATATTAATAACTTCTTCTTATATATATATTTCTGTTCTATTTTTTCTTTTAGTAATGGGGATTGAACCCAGGACATTTGCAGTGAGCTACATTTGCAGCTCTTTTTAGTTTTTGAGACAGAGTCTGGCTAAGTCACTAAGTTGGCTAGGCTGGGCTTGAACCTACAAGGCTTGAACTTGCAAGGCTGGGCTTGAACTTTCTGCCTCAGCCTCCCAGAGTGCTGTGATCACAGGGATTCATCACGATGCCTGAAAAATTTCCATATATTTTAGCAGCTGCTTACCAAATTAAATTCCATAGCACTGTGCCCAATAACTCTAGAAGCAATACATACTAACTTGAGGTTTAGCATAAAATTACAAAATTTTAAAGGGAGACTAACAGTCTTTGTTTTATATTCTGCATAAGTATACACACTGAGTACTATTTTTTATAAGTACCTTTATAGAAGGCATGTGTTTTCCAAATCCAGATACCTCTCACAGAATTATTAAGCCTATTTATACATTGTATTATTGTTCCTGGGCATTGTTTATAACTCAAGTTCATATGGGTCTTATTCACAATGCCTTAAAAGCAACATCCTTAAATTTTCAAATAGCCAAAAATCTCAATAATAATAAAAGCATTATTGTATGATTTATGTTTGCTATTAAAAGCATTGTATTGGTGGCAATAGTACAGTTCATATATAAATTAGGGGACATTTTTGTCCATGACAATGGGTATCTAAAGAATTATCAGTAACAGAAACTGTACTTTTGACGTGTCCTTTACAGTTTTATTCAATTGCAAATCTTGTGCAGATGTTATATAATGTTTTACAACTCAATATTTAAAAGGTTCCTTAATTTAAATGCAAAATGAAAGAACAGAAATAATACTTAGTGGACAAGAAAGTATGAGATGGCTTTAAAGACATTTAAATTATTTAGACTTTGTAAAGCACAGTGAAATAGTCAACAAACAACAAATGTATACATGCCTCAAATTATACTGTGTCCCATGAATATGTAAAAATATTACTTGTCACTTAGAAAAAAAATGGAAAGGAAAAGTAAATGTTTAGTCTGATTTTTAAAAAGAAAGAAAACTGCAAATCTACAAACTAGTAGGAAACTATCTTTAAACCCTTGTGTAAAAAAATTTATAAATGGTTATTAAAGGGATACTTCATAAGTAATCAGAAAATGAGACAGGGCCGGGGATTTAGCTCAGTGTTTCCGCCGCCTGCCTCGCAAGCGCAACGTCCCGAGTTCGATCCCTGGTACCAAAAAACAAAACAAAACAAAACAAAAAACAAAAACTAAAGAAAATGAAAGAAAAAGAAAAATTCATGAAAACCAAATTATATCAGACCCATATTTAATTTCAGACCTCATATAATAAAGTTGTTGTTCCATATGTATTTACTAAAAGAAAGACCAATTTTGTTTCTTTTTTTTGGACAGTTATTACTACTATCAAAAAAGTGTGTGGGCTGGGGATTTAGCTCAGTGGTTTCTCCGCCTGCTGTGCAAGCACAAGGACCTGAGTTCGATCCCCAGTACCAAAAGAAAAAAAAAGTGTGTGTGTATAATGGTTTATTATAAAATATTCTGATATATTTTAACAATAACACATTCAAATATTAAATTAGGAGACCTATCTGATATTTGCAGAAGTTCTGGAATTCATTCTTTTTTTTTGGAATTGGGGATCGAACTCAGGACCTTGTGCTTGTGAGGCAGGCATGGTGCCACTAAGCTAAATCCCCAGCCCTCATTCATCTGTTTATGCAATGAATAATTGTCAAATGAAAGAACATGCTTCTACATGGCATATGATGGGCAAGTGGCAGTTAACAGATTAAATTTGTCTTCATAAAGATTATATTCTAATTGGGGGAGGTGGCCAAGAAACACATTAATGAAAAAAATCACATCAGCTGGTGAAAAATGCTATGGAGACAGATCAAGGTACCTGAAGAGGAACTTTGGTGAGTGGTAAGGAAGAGGTGCTCTGTTATGAGGGTGAAGTAGGTCAAGTAGGAAGCCCAAAGCTATCTGGGAAAAGCAGTCATGCAAGGACTTCCATATGGGTATGGACAAAATGCAAATATATGACATGTAGAAAAATACCTTAGGAATATTTCAATCAAACCGAATGATTATTTCCTAAAAGCGCTGATGAACAAAAGCACTGATACGGATATGGAGGTTCTTAGTGCTATGTTGTGCTGCTCTGATCTGAGCTTGGTACTGGTTAATATTTAATCATAACTAAGGGTACCAAAGAGACTAGGTCATCAAATTTGAGGATGATACACATCTTAGAGAGAAACTTAAAACCCTCAGACTACAGAAATAACTTCTTAAATATATATAATAACTTCTTAAACTTCACTGCACCTGCCTCACAATTGCGAGGTCCTGAGTTCAATCTCCGGTACTGGAAAAAAAAATAGGGCTCATTTGCAAGGGATGTCTCTTTATAACCATGATAGAACTTGTATTCTGGATCGGTCTTATTTTTCGACAAATACAGTACATGAGGGATAAAGGAATCATAGCTATCGTCAAATACTAGAAAAGCTGCTGTGTCAAAGGAGAATTGGATTCACTCAGTTTATCACAAAGAAGTGAATTAGGATCAATGAGCAAAAGCAACAGGGAAGGAATTTTGATTGATCATATAAGAAAATGTCATAGGCATTCAAGTAAGGATATTGACTCCCCTGTCACAGATAACTGCTTGGGAGACAGAGACAGTTGCACTGAGGCTTCAGAGGACTAGCACTAGGATTTAGAGATCATTAAGGTACTTCTATTTGCCAGTTCTATAACTGATGAGATAGATTAGTATGTTTCTCTGTTCCTCTCTTCTCTCTCCATTTTAATAATACTGAGGCAGATCCTTGCTTCTCTTTTCTTTTCCCTACGATTTATCCTAGAGAAAGGAAGTGTCTTCAATAAAGGGATTTTCTTAACTTAGTTTTTCTCATACTTTTGTGTTAATTTTTCTATTATTTCGATTTTTTAATTATTGAATTCTTTGTATATTTTAAGATTTATAATAATATTATATTATTAAAAGAAGTATATATATAAAATGATACAAAAAGTAAAGTTAGGTACACTTTCTGTTAGTTACTTGGCGACTTTTTATTCATTGTGATCAGTTAGATATAGGGTAGCTAAAGTCATTACTACATCTGGCACCTTTAGCACCTCAGTCTTGCATTTCATACAAAAGAAAATTTGAAATAGTTAACAGATTTCAATGTAAAATATGAAACCCTTAAAAGATAACATAAAAGAGAATCATCAGTACCTAGAACTTAGTGAAGAGTACTTTGACACTACAATAAAAGTAGGAGGATTGAACTCAGTGGTTCCGCCTGCCTCGCAAGCGCAAGGTCCCGAGTTTGATCCCCAGTGCGAAAAAAAAAAGTATAATAAAGAAAAAAAGTGATAAATTGATAAATTAAACTTTTGCTCTGTGACAGGCTCTGTTACAAAGATGAAAAGACAGGTCTGGGGATTCAGCTCAGTGGTGCCATGCCTGCCTGGCAAGCACAAGGTCCTGACTTTGATTCTTGGTATAAAAAAAAAGTTAAAACAAAAAGATGAAAGACAAACTGAGGAGTGGGAAAAATATTTAAAAAATTATACATTTGATGAAGGACTCACATTTAAAATATATACAAAATTCTCAATAGTCAAACAATGAGGCTGGCGTAAAATGCTTAACTAGCATTTACAGGCGTGGAGTTCCACTCCTAGAACCACAAACCAAACCAAAGCAAACCAAAGCAAACCAAACTAAACCATGCCAATCCAAACCAAACCATCACCAACAAAAAACCAGTATAAAAGTCCGATTAGAAAATGGGCTTAAGACATGAAGAGATATTTCAAAGAAAAGGCTGTATGGGTGGCAAACATGTAAATGAAAAGGAGCTCAACACCATTACCCATTAAGAAAATTCAAATTAAGACCATTATGAGATATCATTATATACCTATAAACAGTTTAATAACAAAACAATGATAATAACGTGCTAGTGAATATGCTGAGAAGTTGGACCACTCGTACAGTATTATGGAGCATAAAATGGTATAGCCACTCTGGAAAATAGTTAGATATTTCTTAAAATACTAAACATACCCTTACCATAGGACTCAGCCGTTACATTCTTGGACATTCATCCCTGAGGATCTTCACTCATAAATCAGTACAACATTGTTTATAGGAGCTTTATTATAGTTTCTAAAAACATGTTAAGAACTAAGAAGTCCCTATTAGATGAATGGTTAAATAATGGTGGTACAACCATACCATGGAACACCATTTATTGATAAAAACTATTGATACAAATGACAATTTTGATGTATCTGAAGGGTATTATGTTCAGTGAACAAAGCTAAACTCAAAATATCACATTTTTTTTCAAAATATCACACATTATTTACACAACATTCTTTTTTTTTTTTTGGTACTGGGGATCGAACTCGGGTCCTTGCGCTTGCGCAGCAGGAGGCAAAATACACAACATTCTTAAAACGACAAAATTACAGAGATGGAACACAGATTAGTGATTGTCAAGGGTAAAGGACAGTGGGATTGAGGAAGTGGACATGATTATATAGCAGTAACAAGAGAGATATCTTTGTGATGACGGAATAGTACTACACTCAATTGCTACGATGTATATACAAATCTACATGCATACGTGATAATATGACACAGACCTACACATACACATTGTGCTAATTTCTGTCAGATTCCTGGTCTTGAAACTGAGCTATAATAATGCGTTGTGTAACACTGGGGAAATTGAGTGAAAGGTACATGGGACTGCTGTATTATCTTTAAAACTTCCTGTGAATCTATAACAATTTAAATAGAAAGTTTAAAAAAAGGTATTGACAATGTCAGCTAAGAAACATAATGACTTTGTATTTTGTAATTCTGTCTCAGAAGTTTGGTAATAGTTAAATCACTGCAGCAGGAAGAAGGGGACTGAAGATAGGAAATAAGGGATAGGGAAAAGGGAAAGATACTAAATTGACTAGGTAGAAGAAACTATTAAGCACAAGGGTACACATAAACTTTCTTTTTAAAAAAAGTCATTACCTTAACGTGGAATTCATTATCCAACAAAATATTTTGAGTCTTCAAGTCATGATGGAGTAGAGGAGGATTCATATTGTGTAGGTAATTTACACCAAGTGCAATTTCATGCAGGATGCGAAATCTTAATGGCCAAGCAACATCAGGATATTCAGTTTTCTTTATACATATGAAAACAAACAAAGTGAAAATTAGTATCAAAATTTTACTGTATTTCATAGTTAGAAAATTAAATATTCCACAAAGAAATACAAACTTAAGGTCTAAACATGCTCATTTTGTTAACATAGCATTATTTCGCTATTAACATTCTTGTACTTACTTTCTTCATATTTTAGAAAAAATACAGTAATGATAATTTCCTTTAAGTTTATATTATTCATGCAACTACATGATATTGGCTCTTCCTTGTTCAACTGACACAGGTTTCAATTACTGTGTATGTATATATACGGATATTCATACCTTTACTCGCACCCACTACCTGACACTATGGCTTCATCATGTAACCTGTGCACATTTATATGCACACACACACACAAAATTGCACACATTTTGTTTCTGATGAGTACCAATCCATTCATTAAAAATTTATATTTTAATTTTGCTATTAATACAAAGCCATATTTGTTATAATAATCTGCATCAATTATGACATTACATTTATTTGAATCAATATCTGTCTCATAATCATATAATTAATTGATCTATATTCCCTGTTGAAAAATTAAGACTTTGAGGATTTTCTTTTTGTAAAGGGGACCAAGATCATTTTTGTTTTTAAACCTATACAACGGATACTTTCCAAACATATACATTTTTAACTAATACCCATTTGAGCTTTCTTAAATATTTTCTCAACATAAAAGTTAACTCTGTTTCACAAGACAACTTGGCAACTTGGGAAGACTGACAATAAAGCATCAGGTGTTATACTCCTGGATACATTTTTCTAACTGCTATGAAAAAGTCTTCTATTGAAAGTCTTTTTACTGAAAGCATGAAACTGTTTTGAGAATTCTTCAAATTGGTTTACTTATGGTTCAATGATCAATCTGAGCAGGGGAGTAATTCTTCAAATTGGTTTACTTATGGTTCAATGATCAATCTGAGCAGGGGAGTGGTTCAAAATATAGACTGTTTACATGTATTTCTATTTTTTTTCCATTGATCTTTTTTTGTGAAGTTGGGAGGGGGGTGCTTCAAGGTAAATCCTATCCCAGATAATACAATATTGCAAACCAAAAGAAACATCAAACACTAATGTGGAACATTACTTCTTCTGGTATACACATAGCCCCATCCCCTGGAATAACTGAATCTTTTAATCTATAAAAAGGCAACTCTTTCTGAAAATTATACAGTTTAAAGGAGTAACTGGGCCTCTGTGTAAAAGGTGTTATATGTGGGTTTTTGATCACTGAGACATGGTAGAGTTTTATTTTTTAATTAATTTATATTTTTTGTGTTACTGGGGACCAAACTCAGAACCTTGTGCTTGTGAGGCAGACGTGGTGCCCCTGAGCTATAACCTCTGCCCTGAGACAGGGTAGATTTAATTTGTGATCATTTTCGGAGTTAACAACAATCCTGGAGGAGTCTACAGACTTTCCAGTGGGTTCCAAATTTGGGTGCTAGAGAACCCACGGGGTGGGGGACGGACATGATTTCTCAAAAAAGAAACTATGCTTTACTAATATTTGTATCTTGATTCCTGTGGTAGTTACACAAACCTTACACACTGACACCAGTTACTTCCCTCCATCTTTGTTTCAGATGGGTCACAAGTCATGAACAGAATGCGTTGTATTCTGAAACAAAGAGGAAGTTACTCCATGAGTGACTGACCAGCAGCACCCACTTTTCCTTGGTCACAGAGCATGTGACATATTATAATTTAGGGGTGTCAGTAACTAGACTTCAGAGATTACATTATTCAGATTTCATTAAACCAATCCTCATAAAATGGGCCAAATAATGTAAGCAGATTTCTCAAGGGAAATAATGCACACTAGAGATAATAATATAAGCTCAAGAAAATAGTAATAATTGAATGTATGTATTTAGAAAATGAGGACCTCCAAATTTGTTTACTGATTAGATTCACAATCAAAGCCAGAGTAATTGGCATCTTGAAAAAAAGGGTAAACGGTTTACACTGCTATCTACTATTGGACAAGGTAATGTATCTGGCACTTGGAGATCATTAATTTGGCTTGTTAATTCAGAACATTAGGAACTGATATTAGTGACACTTAATTTGAGCCCTAATTAACCATTAATATAAAATATGGCTCAGCAGTGGATTATATAGTACGCAAAGTTTATCTTTTCTATTTCCTATTTCTGCCTGTGTGTATATGCGTAAGGATATTGGGAATCAGTATCAATGTCAGGGACAGCAATCCACGCAAAAAAATGTAGGTCCCTTTGAACAGAAGGCTTGACTCCACAGGATTTTTTAACGATACAAATAAAGCCACAAAGGTTTAAACTTTATCACTACAACTGTTTCTCATTATTTTTACTTTGATTCATTTATGTACCCACAAAAAAATCTGATTGAATATGAAACCAAAATACTATATAATTTGAGTAACAGAAATTACAGTACTTACCCTGTGTAGGAGTTCGTTCAGTGATCCGTTTGGCATGTATTCAGTAACTATTCCCAAAAATTCAGGCTCAATGCAAATGCCCAAAATTGGAAGGATATAACTGAATCTGGCTTTGTGTAAAATTTCAGCTTCTCTTAAGACATCATCTCTTTCACTAAGAAAAAAATGCATAATTATTTCAGGTAATTTAAAATATATAATTATTAGCCCAAAAGAATAATTAAGCCTGGATTTAAATTAATTAGCTACATGTTTACCTGTAATATTCTGTAATTGCTCTCTCCCTAGTTTTACCATATTTAAAGAGAGATAATTGTTACCCATGTATTTCACAGGTCTATTTGGAGACTAAAATAATGCCTATAAACCACTGAGAGGTGAAAGTGATACACAAATTATTATTGTACTTCTTGTAGGAAAAGGAACACAAGTGTTCTAGTAAGTTCATAATGCCTCTCTATGTCAGAACAATTGGTGCTTGAGCTAAGTTTATTTTGTATTAAACAGATTTAATCTGTCTAAAATAAACAGAATTTTATAAAGAATGCCATGTAAAATTTCCCCCAAAATTCTGAATTTTAAAATATCTAATTAAATGTTCTAGATTCAGAGGATTAGATGATAATGGCTGCATAAAAGGCGCTAATGTGCATACCTGAACTCAAGAAGAAAACACTGAGAACAGGTAAGAGCTCATAACACATCCTTGGTGTAACTCCGGATACCAGGTTTATTTGCTTATTCATAAATACAATAAATATTTATTTTAGTATGAATCAAGAATTTTGCTCAACATAATGGAGAATATGGTGAAAATAAAAAGACAGTCTTTGCCTTCAAATTATCTAGAAATCATTGAAAAAAAAGCAGAATGTGATAAATGCTGCCTCTCATATACATGTGAAGAAAGAAAAAAGCCAAAGACAGTTCGGAGAAAAGAGTAAATTTTGCACTAGGGAGCTGAGTACAGTCTTCAGAGAAGCAGGATTTCAGCTGTAGCTTAAGGATAAACAGAGTTTCAGCACTGAACAGAGGGCAGCTAAGACGGGCAAGGTCCCCAGAGAACCTTGCGGTGCTTAGTAGATCATGAATATACAGATTCCAGGAGTTATGTGCCAAATGAATTCAAGGAAGTGAAAGCGAAGGCCTGTTTGGAAAACTGAATTCTTTAATATGGATCAGGACACGTAGTAGAATGTATAAAAGGAGTGAAAACAAATAAGACAGGCTAGGAGGGCAACAGTGCAAGGGTCCTAAAACAAGTTTAGGGTGGTTAAGTTGTGACCAAAGGTTTTGAGCAGGAGAATGACATCAGTAGAACAAGATTTTAGGATTTTAGGGAAGAGTTTGAAAGTCAAGTATTAGGTAATTTTAATACTGGTTAAAATGTGAAGCTAGGAGAGACTAAAACTATTAAGGCAGCAGTGGAAATTGAAAGGAAAACACTAGCTGAATAGAATGTTCTGGTTGTGGTGACTGACATTATGGGGGATTAAAAATAAAAATAAAAGAAAGGAAATTGGAGATGTCATCAGGTTTTACCCTGGATGAATGGGTGTTGGTAGAAGTAACAAAAATAGAAATGTCTCTAGGAGAAGCCTATGAGGCAAGGGATGATGATTAGTTGACTAGTAAGCCACCCACACTCTGAATGAAGGGCTGTTGAAATAATAATAGCAACAGCCATTCTTGACCAGACTACAAGGCTTGAAACAAAACAGAAAAAAACAAAACAAAACAAAAACCCCCAAACCCACTTACTCATTTATTTTTCAAGTAAGTAACATATTTTATGTTTCAAAATTCAAGAGTTACAAGAAGGCATAAAGTGAAAAGCTTTTCTCTCTTTTTCTTGTTCCTCAGTCACTTAATACCCTAACTGTGAGGAAACCAATTATATCGGTCAGTGAGACCTTTTTAATTAAACTTAAATTCCCAACGTTCAGACAGTTTTGTATTCGCCTCCAGAGATGTGAGCCAACAAGACAGTTCTCAGGTAGCAGCACCTTCCCACCGAGACATAGAATGAACCTAAGATTCCTGGATACTGAAAACTATAGAGGGCCTGCTACAGAGACAGGATATTTAACACACACCTTCTTCCTTCCATAAAGAGCAGGAGGCATCCTTTCTTCTATCACAATGCTATTTATTATGTGCCAGCCACTTTAAAAGCACTATCATCCTAAAATCAACCCTCTAAAGTCAGTTTCATTATCTCTACTTTATATACTGTATAAGGGCACAGAGGATTAGAAAAATGAGCATTTTTCTACTGACCACTCCCTCTCCCAAATGACAGGGGGGATCTAAACTGCAGTCGTGCTATTCTAAAGTCTGCTCTTTCCACTCCATTGCTTAATCAGAGAAGCAAGTAGGATAGTTTGTGAAGTCAGATTTCAGTTAGATTGAGTATGTGTGTGTGTGGATAAAGACAAAATATATGAAAAAGTAAAAATGTGAAATATAGTTTCTGCAAGACATATTACTAAAATTATCCAACTCAAATTTTAATATAAAGTTATACTACCTACAAGGTACTTGTATATCAATTGGATTCTTTACTCATAAGGGGTGGGAAAATTGTGTGGAAGGTCCATTGGTCAGATAGAAGTTGGGTTATGGAGAATGACTAATCAGTTAAATAAATGTAATATTGCATAAAGTTATTTTTCTTCCAGGTGATCCCAAAGAACAATGAAAATATTCAAACCACAGCCCAAGAAGTATATGTTCGGTGCTTATTGTTCACATGTTTTAAGTGAGGAAATAGGCATGCTCAGAGTCAGTTGCATAAGGCTAACTCTACGCTCATACTATATGAATACTGCTAATGTTAAGGTCTTAGGCAACAAGCGGGAGAAAAGAATATGATGCTGTAATGTCGACATTTCACTGGTCATATGACTTCTTTGAAGATGAACTAATTTCTCACCAGGTTAGTGAAGAATTTTATAGTATGAAAGTTGTTAATGAGCATGGGAAGGAAACTCCTTTTACTCCTTGGCTCTCAAAGAGCACAAAGCTTGGGCAGCAGTATCCAAAACAGGAGGCTTATTTGGCTTTCGAATATGTAATGATCCATCAGTGCTATATTTCTATGTAATATTTTCATATTCATATTTCATATGTAATATTTTCATATGTTCAAAAATATACTCACCCTTTCTAACCAACCACTACCCTTTATAAAGTTGATTACTTATACACATTTGGACAGCACTTGCCCACAGAATAGAAGGTCCAGAGTAAACAGATACCACATCATGTGGCCGGGGATTTGGCTCAGTGGTTTCGCCGCCTGTTGTGCAAGCAGAAGGATCTGAGTTCGATCCCCCGGCACCAAAAAAAAAAAAAAAACAGATACCATGTCTTGAGTATCAGTGAAGCTGGACTTTGGTATACAAAACTATCTCTAGAGGTGTCTCAAATCTACTATGCCATCTAGCCCACAGTAAAAGGAAATCCACAGGCAAATGCAAGTTCAAAATCTTGGCACTGTTGATGCTGAGATTTATCTGATACCAGATATTAACTTCTGGCCGATCACTTACCTATCATGGTACAGTTTCACATTAGATACAGGAGAAGGGCAAGGGAATACTGCAATTATGGGATGAATACAGTGCCTAATAAAATCTCTGTTGGAAGGAAAATACACAAGACTATGGTTGGAATGTTTTCCTGGAAATAAAAATGAATGCTGGTCTTTTCTTAGAATTAAGACACTGTGCTGCAATTATCCCATGAGAGATATTCACAACTTTTGGTCGTTTAAATGTCTTCTGATTAAATTTATTGTTAGCAAAAATAACTCACACTTCCTCTGGGGACAGTGTTACCTGTGAGTGGGAGAGAGAAACCACTAATGTAGAGTTGAATTATTTCAACTTTCAGGACTACACATAATAAACCGCAAACAAAACAAAAACAGCAAGAACGAAACCAAAATATCCAGAGCACCACTGTCTAATAAAAATTTGGTGTGAAGCGCATATACAATTTTAAGTTTTCTAGGGACCACGTTCAAAGTAAAAAACACACGAAATAAAATTTTAACATCTTATATGTAATTCAATATGTAAAAATATCATTTTGGCATGTAAGCAATGTAAAAATATTGAGTTTTTCCAGTACTAAATATTTAAAACCCACTGTGCCTTGTACACATACACATTTCAATTCCGACAGCCACGTTTCAAGGGCTCAAGAGCTCTTGTGGCTAAAACGTAGCTACTGGACAGCACAGACCGAGAGTCCCATTGCAAAAAATAAGTAAGTAAATAAAGTAAAAAAAAGCAATCAAAGCCCACCCTCACTCCATAAACACGCATCAATTTCAGTAAGCGGGGCTGTCAGAGTTGGGCTGTGACTGGTGATCTTTGGGTTACGGGGGTCAGACACCCAGGACAGTAGAGTGAGGGCGAGAAAGGGAACCTGCAGCAGTGCTTGTCTGCACCGGGCCAGCACCGGGCCAGCCCCGGGCGGCTCGGAGGAGGCCGCGAGGTGACAGCGCCGACCCCCAGGGGTCGCTGCCGTCGGGGCTGCGCCAGGGACCCGCGGGGGCGCCCTACCTGTCGAGCAGCGGGGTGTGGATGTGCAGGTGCTTCACGGCCACCTGGACTCGCCAGTCAGCGTGGCGGGCGGCCGACACCGTGCCCGAGGCGCCGCGGCTCAGGTAGCGCAGGTCGGCGAGCTTGTGGGACGGGATGGTGGGCAGAGCGCTGCAGATAGGCTCCCCGTTCATGGCGACGGCGGCGGCGGCGCGGGTCCCGCCGGACGCTAGGTCACCAGGCCGCCCATCCCCCGCCGTCCCCGCCGGCCGCAGCGTCCCGGGCCGGAGCCTTCGCCGGCCTCTGGAGCCCGAGTCGCTTCCTCTCGCGCCCCGGCGGCCGCGCTCCGCCCCGCGCAGCTTCTCCCACGACGTAGGCGAGGACGCGAGGCGGGGACGGCGCGGCCCCCTTAGCGCCTGGGGCGGTCCCTCCCGTCACACCGGGCGGGGAGGCCGGGCCGCCTGTGCCCTCTCCCTCGGCTCCGGTTCAGGGAAGCTTCCTTTCGGGAAAGCCCCTGTGGAGGCCGTCGGCCCGGCCTGAGTCTGTACGGCCTAGCCGTCTCTTGGGGAGCTTTTCTTTCTGGGTCGCGCTTTTTCCGGGTGTCGCCAGATTCCGGCCTGCGCGGGAAGCGCTCTGAGGGAGCCGGTGACTTTCTAGGTCCCCAGGATTGTCTGGACTCAGTCTTCCCTCCCTTCCTGTCACTTCAGGAGTGAGGGGTGCGCGACAGACCTTGTTGTGGTGGAACAAGTGCAGGTGTTGCTGCTGTAACGTGGGCCTCGCCAGGAAACTGCCCCCTGTCAATGAAAAAATCCATTCCTCTGACTCCAGGAGACACCAGATTTCTTTCTTGTACAGCTGGGAGGATGCAGTGTTTAATGCCGACCAGAAAAAATACTTTATCTTTCCATTTTCCACATTTTCTACTTAGATGACTATTTTGTGGGTTGTGTGGTGCAAATACCATCATCTCTTGGAATCTAGTGTTTGTGGGGACTTGGTTCCAGGACTCTCCACCCACCATGATACTAAAATCTGACTAAAATGCTCCAGGCGCTTGTATAAAATTGTCTAGTACTTACAGGCACACCTTCCCCTATGTTTGAGATCATTATAGTTTTCATCAGTATACCTTTTAAAAATAAACTTTCTTAGTTATATATGGGAATTAATCAAACTATGTATGTATTCCCAACTAAGAGTACATATTTATGAAATTTTTGTATATATATATTTTTTAACTTCCATAATTAATTGATCAAAGGCAGAAAGCTGAAGGAATACTGATGATGAAGCATAGCGATGAAACAAGAAACAAAAAACTATGCAAATTAGGCTTAAAATAAGCATCTTATCTATAGGTTGAATTTATTTATTTGAAATTCTATAAAGTTCCATCAAAATTTGTTTCCTTAGTTACTGAGAATAAAGGTTATTGTTACCTGTATGTGTTATTTTAGGAAATAGCGGGTCTAAATCTTACATCTCTTCAATTAGAAACGAGACAGAAAATTGAAAAACACTTAAAATAGTACAGTTCAAGAATTCCAAACCTCTGATATCCAAGATGTTTCTATTTTTCAGAATAAAAACATCTAGAGGGCCAGGGATTTAGCTCAGTGATTCTACCACCTACCCCACAAGTGCAAGGACCTGACTTCGATCCCCAGTACCAAAAAAAAAAAAAAAAAAAAAAAGGCATCTAGAAAGTTTAAAAAATATAAATGCTGGGAAGTCCCTATAATTGCATAATGAATGGGGTATATTTGTAGTTCTGTCCCAAAAACCTTCAAAAAATCCTGCTATATTTAACGATGTTTTCTATCATGACGAAGAGTTAGAAAAGTACTCATATTTGCTTTTTAGGAGTACAATCGTTTTTCTTATTTAGCCATTCTATATTCAATCCTGATATTGAACATAATGTAATTTTAAAATGCTTTTTTCTACTGTTACTAAGCTAAATTAAATGATGCCCATTGGAAAAAATTTCTCATTAGAATTAGCAGTAAAATTATATTAAAATCGTCTTTTCAGTGTACTTACTAATATATTTTTCTGAAACGTTTTTCAATCTAAAGTCACATTTTTATCCTTTAGCATTTTTAAAACAGTGAAAAGTTAATGTGCCTTTCAGTGAAAGTGCTAAAAAGTAAAAACCAAAAAAACTAAAAGAAAAACAAAACCTTGGAGATAACTAGTACAATCTTCCACCTAATATTAGTATCTGATGTTACTATAGTTTGAGCAAGCCCTTCCAATAGTTAGAGATTTTTATTGTAAAATATTAGAGATATTAAATATTAGAAATTTCTTCTGACAATATTACCTTTTTATGAGTCAAATTCTTCTAAGACAATTTAAGCTTTGTCATTCATTCATACCACTTTTTAAGATGGCATAAGGAGTTTAGAGATAAATACTTTGAAGACAGATATCATGTATCTTTGTGCTTAGGTGTCTTCATTTGCTTCCACTCACTTCTCAGACTCACAGTGGTTCTCCTGTATATCCATTTTCCTTCATCAGCATCTCCTACATCCAAACAGACTAGAAAATTCCATATATAATCTGACCAGCAAGAGAGATTGTGGCTGTATCTGACTTTGATCTGAATCTATTAATGCAATGGAAACAGCATCTAATTAAAAAAAATGCTCTCAACAGTTAATTTCAGTTGAGCCTATGATTAAAACTGAGGTTTTCATTTGTTAGTTTATTTTCTCCCTTCTCTTCTTCCTGCTCCCATCCACTACCTCCTCCTGTTCTTTCTCCTCCTCCTTTTAGTATGAACTACTTTTAAGCCAGGTTTCTTTTCCTCCTGTACTTGGCAATGTATTATTTCAGATCAAGTGTCATGGATTGAATTGTGTATCCCGCCAAAATTTGGAAATCCTAACCCTCAGTACCTAAATTGATTAGGATGGATTGTAATCTAAGATGGCTATGTTCTTTTAAAAGGAGGACATTTGGACACTTGACAGGCATGCATAGAGGGAGGATACTCTGAAGACACAGGAAGAATGTCATCTCCAGGCCAAGGAATGACTAAGACTACCATAAACTAGGAGAGAGGGGTGAAATACATTTCTCCCTCACTGCTGTCAGAAGGAACCAACCTGGCCAATGCTTTGATTTTGGATTTCTAGCTTCCAGAACTGTGAGACCACGATAAATTTCTCTTTAAGCCATCCAGATTGTGGCTTTTTATTGTGGTAGCTCTAGGAAACTAATAAACCCAGGTACATTTAAAAAAAATTTATTTGAGATAATTGTCAATTCATAGGAAGTTGCAAAGGTAACACAGAAAGTTACTAAGTATTCATCATCCAGCTCTCCCCTAATAGTTATATCTCATAATTATAAACTATATCAAAACCAGTAATTTGGCATTTATCCAGGGTATATACATTGTTTGGTGTCATTTTATCATTTGCATAGAATTGTTTAACCATTTACCTATTGAGAGAAATGTTAGTTGTTTCCAGTATCATATTTTATAAGTACAGATTAACTGGTTAGAGCACTAGGCAGAAGGGCCCAGGAATGTGACCCTCACAACCCTTCTCCATGTATCCTAAAATAGAAGTCTTGGATTTAAGATTGAACTGACTGGATTAACTCCTTAATCATTTCTTAATAGTAAAAGAAAAAGTACATCCAATGAAATTATACTTTATTTTTCACATAGTACATAGTAAAATCGTGTACTTTAACCCTATGCTTAAAGAAGAAAGGAATCTGAACAATATTCAGTGTTGACTATTCTACTGTTACATATTTATCTGCCTATATATGTTCAAGTAGCATTTTCCCCTTTTTGTGTAAATATGATTTTTAATTAAAAAGAAATATATGTACCAGTGAGTATGGTAAGACATTCAAACAGTTTAAAAAGGTATATACATAAAAATCTAGCCTTCCTTATATTCAAGATTTTCAGTCTACCTATCCTAAGGCAATAAATACATTTTACAGGTATTTTATGTGCCATTATGTTGTGTTGGAAACACAAGGATAACAAAATGCTTTGAGTGTTCTAAGGGAGACAGACACTGGAACATACTATTACAGTGTGATACATGTTCCAATACAGAAGTCTAGGGCTTGATGGGGAACCAGAAGATAGTCCCTTATAATAGAGAGAGTCTGCTTGATAATTTACATGCTTAAAAATTTAATGAAGGGCTCAAGAGGTTAGGTAAATTGCCAGAAGTCATAGTTTATTAGTTACAGAGACAGGATTCCTGAACAAATCTGTTTGAATCAAAGTCCGTATTCTTTCTGGGAACTGCTTCAGTTCAGTAAAAAACAATGAAGTGTTCCATTTTCAGTTTCACTTTATATAATGTCTCAGAGAAATTTAATGACTAGGGAATTTCCTAGTTAAGATAGTATGGACAAAGATTTATTATTACAGAAATTTCATGGGAAATTCCATTTTCCTCTAGGAGTTTATTTGGCAGGTTTCTGAGACTGTGAAAAAATATGTAGCTCAGTCTGTATTTAAAACTTTTGACCTCTGAATTTGGCAGAATATTTGCTTCCAAAAATTTTTGCAAAACTTAAAATAATTTTTTTGCCATCTGCACTCCTAGGTTGTAAGCAACATACACTAAAATATATTAACTTTTTAGGCAACACACACACACACATGCATGCTTTTTTTTTTTTTTTTGGTTTAGGAAGTTACTATGTGAAAGGGGTTATAAGAAGTCAGTATGCATCCTGCTTTGGGGAGGCAGAGACATAGTTGTGGAAAAAGGCAGAACTTTTCTCACTGCAGCATCCCATGTAGTTTATAAGAGAGCAGGCTGATGCAATTGTTTGGAAGTGGAAACTATGACTGAATCAGGAATCCAGTGTCAGCTGCTGAACACATTGTTAGGGAGAACTCTAAGGTTTATTGGGAAATAAGCACTCTGTGACTCACTTTTCCTACTTGTCAAAAGGAATAGAAATGTCTACCCTCCCAGAGCAGTCTTGTTGCACAACTCCAGGGGGCATTATTCACATTTAAGAGGTGTCACTCACATGAAATAACAATAGGCATGGTCCCTGGAGTTGAGCAATGTGGAGGCTTTTTGGCCTGCTTATTCCCCAGGATTGTTCCAAGAGTTTCAAGTTATATAATGAATGTTAAAGAACTTTATAAGCTGTACCAGTGACAATATATGTAATGACAATAATTATTGTTATTTTCTTGGCTAACCCTCCTCTCCGAGGAAAACATTCTTATCTACTTTGAGAAATAGAAAAGCAGTCCCTGCTAGCTAGGAGCTGACCCGCCACTCACAATAATGATGTGATGTTCTCCTGTTGAATATAAATACTTTCCTAGAACAACTGCAGACAAGACTACTTTGTGTCTGTGGTGGAGCAAGGCAAAAATAAGGTCTTTATGATTATATTTAAAGAAAATTGAGCATATTGTCTAAACCATGAAAATGAGAAAATACCCACCCCCCCTTTCCTGGATAATAATGAATGACTGCTGCTTCTTTTTGAATTACAGCATTAGACTTACTTGATGTCTTTTAATATTTAGATAAGAGTGTTTAAGATACCTTATCAGAGAAGTACCCCAGCTTTTGGATAACATCCAATCCAGGGAGGATTCCCATTTCCTTGAATGGAGTCCAAGCCAAAAATCTATGATATGTTCTTCCTAACACTGTTGTATTGAGATATCTCATGGTTCCACATGGTATTTGTTTCTTCTCATTGCATTAACACAATAAACCCAGGTTTCTAGAACTGCAAATGGGTTCCTGTGCTCTTTGGCTAGAGGATCTTGATGAGTTC